CCTCTTCCGCCGAGAATAATAGCACTGACGACGAATTTGTTGACACTGAGGATCACAATTCGCAAGTTAACGATTACCCAAGAGAATCCGCACAGGTTGGGCAATCTTCTTCAACACAACCATCCCCCCCTCTGATCCATCAAGATCATCCTACATCGCAACCATCATCATCACCATCACCATCACCATTTATATTTTCTTTCTTACGATTCTCCTCTTCTACCTTTTTCGCCAGCTCTCGGGTACTTATTATTCTTGTCATCTCCAATCTCTTTACAACATTTTCCGTGCCTACCATCTCTCCTTGATCTTGCCCTGTGACCTCTGATTGCTCTTTTTCTGCAAGTTTCTTTTCTCGCTTCTCCCTTCGCTTCTCTCGTCTAATCTCTCGGTCCTCAAGTTTCGCATTACTGCCCTTTCTCGTTTTCCTTCTTATTGGTGGTTTCGGATGAGCTTGAGGCTGTGTATTGTGTATACCACCAAATGAAACCATTAAGCTCTCCTCCAACAATTGTCGCCTAAAGTCAAGGGACGCACGTTTTTTTACGGAAGCCCGCCTTCGCAGAGAATTAGCACGAGCAAGACTATTATTATTTGGAAGGCCGGATGCCAGGTTCTTTAAGTTTCGCCTGGGATTCATGGTTGACAGTATTCTTGAAGTTCGGTTGGGATTTATGGATGATAATCTTTTTGAAGTTCGATCAGGATTGGTGGGGATAATTCTCGAAGTACGATTAGGGTTCGTAGAAGCAGCACGTTGAGCACGATTGGGAAGGGGTACCAGAGAGGCATGAATTAATTTCGGTGGCTTTGGAGAACCAGGTAACCAAGGGAGACCAATCGTTCGCCTCGGCAGGATGTCGGATTCCATGTCGGTAGGGTCATTGGAATGCACAGGGTTCGAAGTAGATGCAAATTCCATATTCCGTGGTGGTGCTCTTTTTCTTAGGGTACTAGTTCCACGTTTTAAAGGCTTATTGGGCACAATATTACTACGACTTATCGATTGCGTTCTTACAAGAGACCTTTTAGCTATTAGCCTAGGGTCGATAAATGCCAT